ATCCAATGAATCTAACGTTAGATAACTGGTTCTGTAAGTTGGACATCGATTCACGTACAACAAGCTACTGTGGAATCCAATGAATCTAACGTTAGATAACTGGTTCTGTAAGTTGGACATCGATTCACGTACAACAAGCTACTGTGGAATCCAATGAATCTAACGTTAGATAACTGGTTCTGTAAGTTGGACATCCGTTCACGTACAACAACCTACTGAGGAATCCAATGAATCTAATGTTAGATAACTGGTTCTGTAAGTTGGACATCGATTCACGTACAACAAGCTACTGTGGAATCCAATGAATCTAACGTTAGATAACTGGTTCTGTAAGTTGGACATCGATTCACGAACAACAAGCTACTGTGGAATCCGATGAATCTAACGTTAGATAACTGGTTCTGTAAGTTGGACATCGATTCACGTACAACAACTTACTGAGTAATCCGATGAATCTAACGTTAGATAACTGGTTCTGTAAGTTGGACATCGATTCACGTACAACAACTTACTGAGTAATCCGATGAATCTAAGATTAGATAATTGGTTCTATCATTTGGAGAATTCCGTGACAATTTCATTGTGACCTGAAGAGGGTCATATGGACATTGTCTGTTTAGTCCACAAGATCTATTGTATCTCTCTAAATAGTGCTATTAGCTAATCAATGGAACAATAATTGTCAACGCATGTGTTGTGTGCGACAGAAAGCACTCTTCACTTCGCTACATCTTATGTAATTAACTTAGAAGGTATTCGATTTTGAAGTTATGCATTTTTTCCTGCCATTGTGTGAGAGCACTGGGCCAAATCATTATCATATCTCATGTTTTTCTCGATGATTGAAATTAGCATTTCCAGGAAATTGAAATGGGTACCGTATATATATTTGAAAAACAACTATTTAAATTACCCATTATACGTTGCACACATATTCGTTTTGTTTTTTTCTATTTTAAATTAAGACTTGTAGATGAACTCTTAGAGCTTCGTATAGGGAATTACAATGTGCTTTTAATACGTTCGCATCTATATTTTTACGTCTTTTTACCCTTAGAAAATCTCCAACCTGTCAGAGTATCTTTTACATTCTTACGTGTTCCAGTTGCATAAAGCGTGCCTGTCACTTAGAAAACTTTCCCACCTTAATATATGATAACGTTTTATTTTTTCAACTTTTCATTCATTGGTCAGGGCCTGTACTGAAGAACTGGTGGAACCAACGTAATAATTTTATCTCAGTGTACAGGCTATTTGATCCTTCCGGAGAAACAGTATTGTATTGGCTCAGTGACGACTGTTGTGTATCAATGTTGTATCAGCATGACAATACAACATTAGTTCAATGACAACTGTTGTGTAGCAATGTTATATCACCACGACCTTACGACATTAGGTCAGTGACAACTGTTCTGTAGCGATGTTGTATCAGCATGACCATACGACATTAGTTCAGTGACAACTGTTGTGTAGCAATGTTGTATCACCACGACCTTACAACATTAGTTCAATGACAACTGTTGTGTAGCAATGTTGTATCACCATGACCATATGACATTAGTTTAGTGAAAACTGTTGTGTAGCAATGTTGTATCAGCATGAGTGTACGACGTTAGTTCAGTGACAACTGTTGTGTAGTAATTTTGTATCACCATGACCTTACAACATTAGTTCAATGACAACTGTTGTGTAGCAATGTTATATCACCACGACCTTACGACATTAGTTCAATGACAACTGTTGTGTAGCAATATTGTATCACCGTGACCATACAACATTAGTTCAATGACAACTGTTGTGTAGTAATGTTGTATCAGCATGACTTTACAACATTAGTTCAGTGACACTGTTCTGTATCAATGTTGTATCACCATAACAATACAACATTAGGTCAATGACAACTGTTGTGTAGTAATGTTGTATCACCATAACAATACAACATTAGGTCAATGACAACTGTTGTGTAGTAATGTTGTATCACCATAACAATACAACATTAGGTCAATGACAACTGTTGTGTAGTAATGTTGTATCACCATAACA